GTGTGTGTGTGTGTGTGTGTGCGTGTGTGTGTCTGTGTGTGTCCGGTGCATCTTGTCCGCAACTTTCAACCCAGAAACGCAAAATCTAGAAAGCTGAAATTTTTGGGCAATGTTCCTCGCCCACGTGTAATCCCGCATATTTAATTTCAGCCTTTCCCCTGCCCTTGGGCACCGCGCACCACCTGTGAAAATTTTGGCGAGGGAGTTATTATCTCGGGAACTGTAAAAGCTGGTGGGCTGAAATTTTGCAGTAATATTCCCTGTCCAAAACAGTCACTCTTAAATTTAAATTCATTCTCCCCGTGCACTCGGATATTACGTACGGCCCCATGGGAATTTCGGCGGGGAAATTAATATCTCGGAAATCATAAAAACTAGGAGATTGAAATTTTGCGGTAATGTGCCCTGCCCGCACACCACTCCGCAAATTTAAATTCAACCCTCCCGTGCAGCCTTGCGAAAGTTCTGGCAAGGGAAATTATCTTGGAAAACACGAAAGCAGGGAAGCTGAAATTTTAGGGTATTGTCCTTTGCCTATGTACGACTTGCAAATTCACGTGCGCCTGGGTCTCAAAATCCCTTTGAATATTTTGGCGAGAAAATTATTGCCCAGAAGCCCAAAGACGTGGGAGGCTAAAAATTTTGGGAGGATTTTTTCCGCCTATGCAGGGGCCACAGGAACTCATTTTTAGTTCCAGAGAGGTCTCAGGCATGACTACATAAAAGTTTCGAGGCGGAATTTTCATCTCACCTTTTATTTTGTCTCATTTTTGTGCTTTTATTGCTGCAGTATCGCATAAAAAAGCGTATTGTCGAGGCCTTGTCTGCGTGCGAGTTCGAATATTTATTTAGATTTTTCAAATTCAGCAGTCTGAAAAGCTGGGAAATTGAGATTTCAGGAAAGTGTTTCATACCTACATACGACATCACAGATTATGATTCAGTTTTCACATGCGGGCACTTAAAGATTTTAGCGGATGTTTTCTGATTCGAAAACCAAACAAAATAAAAAGTTCAGACTTTGAAAGGTTATTTTCTGCTCGCATGTGGCTTTGGACATTTCATTTTGGGTTTCACGTTGGCTTATGCCTTATGCACGATTATGTAAAGTTCAAGTGAGAAGTTATTGGCATCTTGCTAGCTATGGTGGGCAAAACTGCGTAGACCGCATATTTGTCCTTTAGCCGTATGATGCGCAGCACTGTTTATTTTCATTTCCTAGCTCTTCACTGAATGCACTCAGTTCTGAGCTCACTTTTTTATGTGGGGGCCTATTCCATTGGCCCATGTGATTATGTTGCAGGATGTGGACAGTGAAAAGATGAAGGAGCTGAAGGCTGTCAGGGAGAAGCTAGAGCAAATAAAAGACGAGGAACAAGCTGGCCCAGGATTTAGCAAGTTCGTTTTTAGCTTGATGTTGTTTCTGTGTTTGACTGTGCTAATCCACTGTTCCTTTATAAATATCTTAGAAGGGGCCTAAATCCTGACAGGCATTCAAGGGGAAATAAGCATTTAGCGTAAAATTGGCTCCAAATCCTCATGTTCATTCAGAATGCTGGTCGAAAGACAGGAAAAGTAGATGGCTCAAAAGCACGGCGCTCTTTCCCTTCCCTGCACTTTTCATTATCACTTCAAAACCTCCCGCCATCAGCTTCTAAACGGCCATCAAAGGAAGCAAACATCTGCAACCATTTCAGAGGATAATGGCTGTTGGCACATGCTACCTGTCAGCCACTTTCGGGTGCTTTCTCCTCGTAAAGTGTTTTCGAAGTGTTTTTGACTTCAGTATTGTCTTTAAGACCTAATTTTCCTGTCATTTAATACGCTGATTTTGTTAGAGAACCGCTGAAGTTTGAAAAATTTCAGCAAAACACCGCTTAAATTAGCCAAAGTACCAAATTACGGCATAACACAATTTAACACATCTCCGGTCTTCTTCTGAGATTTTCTGAGAGCTTTGGCTATAAAATAGCACCAACTGCACCAATAGCACCAACTTTTAGCACCCACTGAACGGTCTCAAAGGCGGATGGACTCCTTTATTGCGTAAATCACTAGTTTCTTTTATTAAATGACACAAGTTTTGAGGGAAGAAACGGAAGCGCTGGAGGAATGGCAGCGAGAAGTTGCGCGGCTAGAGGAATCACGACTAAGGGACTTGGATGGACATATGAACGATGCTTCGGGAGGAATGTCAGATATCGAGACCGAATCGCAGCTCATCGATCGTTTTGCGCCAGCCGATCATATATCCATGGATACCGATAGTGCCGAAATGGAACAGTTCCGGGCGCTAAGGCTAGCCTTTCATATTGGGCCGAAACTTAGTGCCAATTATTAGCTCTATATGCCACTTGTTAATCCGCAGAAATTGACATTTCAGTAGAGGCGAGGACCAGGCAGCATCACCGAGCAAATTTGTTGCTTCAGCCGATTTTCAGATGGTTCCGGAACCAGAAGATATACAAACGAGGCTAGTTGCCAGCATACAGGTACAGATGCCGAAATTTCTTTTTCCCTACTTTTTTCCCTTTATGCGTTTTTGCTGGGCAGCACTATAGCACTGCTACAGCGAGCAAAAACGCATATTGTCGAGAGGTCTGTGTATGTGTATGTGTATGTTCGGAAGTGAGTAAACTTTGTCACCCACTTTCATCTCAGCAATCAGAAAAGCTGGGAGGCTGAAATTTTGGGCACATGTTTCTACCCCATGTTTCACCCTCCCGCTTTAAAATTTTGGCTTCTATGTTCTTAAACCTCGCGTACGGACCCCCGAAAAAAATATGCAAATTTCTTTGGTGGAAAGTGATTTCGCGAACTGGGCAAGGTGCAAAGCTGAAACTTTGCAGAAATGTTCTCTGTGCATGTACGAGCTAAGGATTTTAAATTCAACTGTCGCGGACGTTTGTGCGGCGTATACGAACACGTCAAAGTTTGCACTTGGCACTGTCTTAACTGAAAAACTAGCAGGAAAACAATGGCTGAAATTTTGTCGGCATCTTTATCGCCCGTATGGGAAATCTTATACCTAAATTGAGTTCCGACTTGCACTTGCGCCACGGCTTAGGACACTTCAAAGATACTTGTGGCGAAGCGGCTATTTCGTTTACCGGATAAGGTGCGAGACTGAAACTTCGCTGCGATATTCTACTTTCGTGCATGGCCTTAATTCTGCTCAGAGGTGGAATTCCTGCAGCTGGTTATGAGAAATACTCAATTTTGCCGAAAACTCAGAAACGAGTGCATTTTGCAGCGAACGATCGCCCTCATCCTCTCCCAACATCCGGTTCATTTACATGTTACCACAGTCGTCGTGCTGACGAGGTCCATTTGTGGTAACGGCAAGAAATGTATACGATTAATGGACCGAAACATTTCTTACCTATAATAAATATTTCTTTATACCCTTACCTATTTTAATATCCTTTTTCTCCTTTTCATTGTTTCCTTCTCATGATATTTTTTTAAACCTTTAATATTTGGTTTTCTTGACGAACGGCTGCTCTGGCAACATTTTCACCTTTCAGTGAAGAACTGAAATTTTTGCATTTTCAAAAACTTGCACTTTTCATTTTTTCGAAAGGCGGACATTAACCGAAAAAACGACCGTGTTTCATACAAACCTAAGCTAGAGCACACCAGGCTTGCCGGTGCAATCATGCGTTTTTGCAATAAACGCGCAGATCACTAATAGCAGGAATGATCCCTGCGCTGTAGCCTAACACTTGGGCTCATATTAGCCGAATTTAGGCTCCTTTCGGCATGCGAAAGGGAGGGCACCGGCTGGGATGAAGATGGTGCATTATAGAATCGCGCGGACTTCTAGGTACATGATTATCAGTTTTTATGCGTTTTTGCCTATATGCAAATTGCAAAAACGCATATTGGGA